CGCGCGCGCCCAGGGCGCGGAGGGCCGCCGGGCCCAGGCGGCAGCGCTGGGTGCCCTGGTCCCTGGCATCAACAGGCAGCAGCTTTAACAGCGGCCCCTCGGGGCAGGCTCCCGAGTCCGGGGCCATGCGCGACGCTGGGAGGACGCCTAGGAAACCGACGGGAATTCCGCCTCGGCCCGCGAGGCCGGAACTCCGCGCCCCGGCCCGGAAGCAGGCGCGCGCGTGCGCCAAGGGGTGGACCGCTTGGTTGCTAGGAGCTGATTGAAGGTTGAAAGGGCCAATTGGGAAGTGCGACGACACGCCGACCCGCAGGCGCTCAGGTAGTTCTGTAGGAGGGAGACGCTAAGGGAGGTGGTCTGTACAGGTGTCTGCAGGGCAGCATTAAGCAAACTTCACCGGGTTGTTAAACGTGTGCTTGCAGACTGCTAAGTTTGTGGCACACCAGTATACTTGCTCCGATTCCTGATGGGCTCCGTGCAGTGTTCTTGGCAACAGCATCAGCACCTCTTCTTTTCCTGTGCTGGGTGTTATTGTTGGGGACACAGCAGGACGAGTAAGTCCTGGCCTGTGTTAGAGGTGACAGCTGTCAGCATTATTAACACAGCTGCCCGCTGGCCTTTTCCCGCCCTGCTTCCTGCCTTTCCGCAGGAAGTCCTCTTCTCGGTCAGGAAATTTATTTCCAATCTTTAATTGTCATCCAGAAGAACTACCAATACCCAAAGGCAAGAAAAGCGCGTTGTTTTTAATAGCACTACATCTCCCTAGCTCAATTTTCCCACCTCCACTGCAGCCCAAATTTGTGAGGTAACGAAGCTGATACTGCCGGGCTTGGTGGCTTATGCAAGGCTGTGGATGTAGCTCGGAGTGAAAACCCAGGTTCAGTCTCCAGAACCGGGAAAAGCAGACTGTGACGAATGCCTAAGTTGTGGGGAGGTTGCTGTTTCTTTTGTGCAATGGAAAGTACGCTTGATCTGGGACCTTAAGACCTGTGTTGCTTCCTGGTCTTATTCTATCTACACTTTCTGCACAGCGTATGGGGAACTTTTGGATCCCACAGTAACTTATCTAATCTCTGCTGTACTTCTCCAGGTCTGATACTGGTATAAAAAATAGCATACATTGCAGGAGGAGGTCCCCAAATGGGTTAGGCACTCTTCCCTATTTTCTTCTTTCTCTGACTCTCATCAACTCTGTTGTCTTTTTTTTTCTTTCTTTCTTTCTTTCTCTCGTCTTTTTGAGACAGGGTCTCGCTATGCAGTTCAGGCCGGCCTTGAGCTCACTTTGTAGCCCAGGTTGGTCTCGAACTCGAAAGAGTCCTCCTGCCTCAGCCTCCCGAAGGCTGGGATTATAGGCGAGCGCCACCACACCCCACGTGTTCTCTTTGTAGTAAGTTTGCATTTTCTGAAATAAAGATTCTTTTAAAAACCTGAGCTCTGAAGATGTGAATAAAGTACCAGTCGTGAAGCCTGTACCTCAGGAAGTTTCTTTTGTCCCAGTTCTAAGAAGTTCTAAGGATCTAGGAAGGGAAAAGAAGACTTAAGAGAGACATGATAAGTATCTTAAATATGTAAAAGGTGCATATATGTATACACATATTATATATGCATGTATTTCCAGGAAATGAAAATTCAGTGGGTGACCTAAAATTACTTGTCATACTTTTTTTTTTTTTTTTTTTTGAGACAGGGTCTCGCTATGCAGTTAAGGCTGGCCTTGAGCTCACTTTGTAGCCCAGGCTGGCCTCGAACTCACAGCAATCCTCCTGCCTCAGCCTCCCAAGTGCTTGGATTACAGGCGTGCACCACCACGCCCGGCCTTTCCTTCTCATATTTTGAGCATGATTATAGGGAAGATAATAGCCAGATGGCATAAGCAAAGCCAACAGAGGGAAGTAACTACAAGGAGGAAAATAAAGTCAAATCAATCTTAGCGTTTTCTGCATTGGTTTAAAACAGAGGTAGAGGCTGTGACATTAGGAAAATGTTGTTTGGGTTGACCAGAGGGTTGATTTTATACAGGGCCCCGCTCGAGTCCTCTGACTTTAAAGACCCATGTAGGCAGGAAGGTCATTGCCCACAGTCACGCAATGGTCCAGTCCTCACATTAGGTTGCAAACAAAATCAACAAGGCCTTGAAATCTTATCTGGTCATCCTCCACAGAGCTATGTTTGTCTTTCCCAGGCAGCCAGTAAAATCTGTTCTCTTCTTTTGGGTTAGACCATTTCTTCCGTCACCACCATCATCCTCTTGGCGGTGCTGGACGTGAACCCAGGGCCTCACATGTGCTAGGCAAGCTCTCAACCCTGAGCTACACCCCCTACCTCAGCGCCATCCTTTCAACTATCTGTACGTCCACACCCATCATCCCATTCGGTGACATCATCTTCTTGTGGAAAACCATTCTAATTGAAGTTGTTTCGTTTATCTGCTTATAATACAACCCCAAATTTGGTGGCCTCCACAACCTGGAAATTCTGACTTGTGCGCCAATTAAAAGCACCAAGATCGAGCCACTAGAGGGAGCCCGGAACCATGAAGCGTTAAGGCTGTACCCTTGTTACACTTGAAGTGTGTCTCCTGCTAGATTTTCCTAGACTTCACACCTACGTTTATGAAACAGTCTGTTGTCTCTCTATTGTGTCTACGTCTATTCCGGTTGCTATAACAAAATAACCTAATCTAGGCAAGTTATAAGAAACAGAAATTTGTTCCTTATAGTTCCGAAGGCTGGAAAATCAAAGGTTGAACTGCTGGCAGATCCAGGGTCTGGCGAGGGCTTTCTACTTCGCAGACAGTGCCTTCTTGCTCTGTCCTTGCAGTGGAAAGAGGGGAGCTAGCTCTCTCAGGTCCCTTTTATGGGGCACTAATCCCATTCATGCGGGCACCACCCTCACAGCTTAATTACATCCCAAGGGCTCATCTCTTAGTGCCATCATCTTGAGGTGACTGCTTCAATATAAGAACTTTGTAGTTAGGGGCTGGGGATGTAGCTCAGCAGCACAGCGCCTGCCTGGCAAGCGCAACGTCGTGAGTTCGATTCCTGGTACTGGAAAAAAAAAAAAAAGAATTTTGTAGTTGACACGCACATTTAGACTATATAGACAGCTAAGTTAGGTAGAAATATTATAGGCAGGCAAGCAGAACCCTTTCAAGGGAGTGAGTGCAGAAGAAGAGAACATATCACAACTGTGGCTGGAGCGGCATCTGGCAAAGACCAAGTCCAGACAAAGATGGAATGACCAGGCCTGCACGCCTTCCCGAGGGGTAAGCAGTAACTTGAGATTGTACTGTAACTGGTATCACCTGGTCCAGTAAAGTCCAGATAGACATCAGCCACCCTGGTGGGGGACCAGAACATCCTAGCACATCTTTCCTGGTACCCTTGTCACATGACTCACTTTCCTGTTGGACCAATACTAGCTAAGTGGCTATCCTTGAAATCTTACTGGTTGAATACAGCTTGGCCCACACTGTACTCACCTCGTGATTCTGTACCCACCTTGTGACTTTGCTCTATAAAACATTCTTAGAAAAGTTGCCTCAGCAGTAACCCCCTCCTGTCTCTCAGGAGCTCTCTCTCAATAAATCTCCTACTCTTAACCTCTGTTCGTCCTTAATATTTACTCTTTGATTTCAGGGGACACAAACTCAGTGTATCTGACATCTAACAGACTGAGAGTTACATTTTCCCCTGTGTCAGAATTACAACAGTAACTTATTTCTGCATGCGTCAGCCCACGGGAACTCAATTCCCAACTTAAAATTTGATTTCAGTATTAAGGATAAAAATTAGACTCTCTTCAAATCTCAAATTTAGTGATGAATCAAAATCTAAACAAATGGAATTCATTTTTTTTCAAGTAGCTTTTGCTAAATAAAACCTTCTATGAGGATTTTTTTTCCCAAAATCCTGTGAGGATTTTCCTAAAGAGGTACAGACAACAAAGTTTCTCTTGCCTTCAACTGCAACATTCAAAATTATAATTCAGCTCATATTAAATTATCTATAAAATCATTTTTTTCTTTTGAGACAGAGTCTTTTTATGTAATCCAGGCTGACCTTGAACTCACTGGATAGCCCAAGATGGCCTCAAGCTCACAGCAATCCTCCTGCTTCAGCCTCCCAAGTGCTACGACTACAGACATGGGCCACCACAACCAGCAAAAATTTCTCAATTAGTAAAATATCTGGAATGCAAATGAAATAATCAATACCTGTCTCTTTTATGCCTTCAGCATCAATAATAGTAGTACATATATTTTAAGTATATCACTACATGAAATATCCATGATTATAAAAAAGCTAAAGAAAATACTTAAGCTGATAGCATGAGTCATATGTTGAACGATGAATCTCAACTTTCCTATTTCTACTTCCATGTTATGTTCAACACTAATGTACTAACATTTGCCATGATTATAAGTTGGAGTAGGTAAACACAGAAATGCATTTACCCACGGTGGAAGGAACATAACTTGCAAATGCTTTCATCTCAGAACGTTTATGCAATTCTATCAAGTGCCTTATTTCCATAAATACCTAAGATGCCACGTGGATGCTCTTATCTTAAAGGATGTAATGAAAATTCCCCCAGAATGAGACATGATTATAATTGTTCTTCAGAATCTTCTGTCTTATTTCTTTTTCACCTCTCCAGGCTATATTAATCCTTCAGAAGACACACAGTCCAGGAAGAGGGAGTGAGATGTATTTGCTGTACTACAAATGATTTGCCAGCTGCACCTCAAGAAACATCATTCTGAAAGTGTGTTCTTACAGACGGACAGAGTCTCACTGTGTTGTCCAGGTGGGCCTCGACCTCCTGGGCTTGAGTGATCCTCCTGACTCAGCCTCCTGAGTAGCTGGGGCTACAACCACACACACCTGGCTCCTCAGTTTTTTAGAAGCTACTATTAGTTAATTTTTTCCTATGCTATTGGTTCACGCTGTTAAACTAATAACTGTATTAGTGTATTATTAAATGTTTATTGCACAGTTACTCCATGGTAGACACAGCACTGAGAGACTGAATGTATGTTAGCAAACAACTACAAACCTGTTCTTGCTTCTTAAATCAGTCAAGTGCGGCGCCCAGAGGTTGAAGATGATGAAAATTGCTATGGAAGAGGCAGAAATGAGCTGCTTTAGCTAGGTATTAAGGGTAGGGAAAAAATCCAGTGTCTTTCCTGCTGTGGTTTACCAAGCGGTCCCTCCGAACAATACTCCTGACCCACGTCCGAGAGTTTCCCAATACATCAGGCAGTTCTTGGGCAAAACCCAGCAAATATCCTTTGTTTTTATTGGGCAAAACCCAGCA